AGCTATCCCTAGGTAGCTCTAAAAAATCCTTTTAAAATGTTAATCAGAGTTCTCATCCACACCTACAGAAATGAAGCTTATTCTCCTCATTCTTCAGAAATTCAAATAAAAAGGTTGAAGTTCTCAAACTTTGTCCAGTGTGGGTTAATATGCTGATGATTTCACCTCTTGGTTTTTTTGCCCTGTATCTGGGAGGCACAGGAGGTTATGTTTGCGCTGGTTTTGTTCCTTGATCCATACGAATGCAAAGCTGCCTGTAAGTTAACTCCCGCATATCGATTCTCGAACAGGCTGTTTAGCCATTAGAGGGCAGCACAGATACGTGCAATATCCATCGTGCCGGGTGAGGCTCTAGGAGAGCCCCCCCCCCCGTTTCTTTCAGCATCCTCGAGGTATCGTGTGGCTGAAAGAATTATCACATTAGTTAAAACAAAGTTAATTAAAACCTGTAAATGATGAATTTCATATATAATTGAAGCAGATAAAATAAAAATTAAAAAAAAAACCCTCAAACACTATTAAGCAGGAAGTTCTTTCAGAATTCCTGAATTATTTTATTCCTTGTCCTTCTCAAGCCTACATACAATTCAGCTATACTGACTAAACCAGCTCCTTTCTTGATGACACATGTAGCACCTTATAGCCTAAAAGTGCTTCCAGAAAACTTCCTCACTTTGTTGCCACCAAATATCTTAGCTCATTGCCTGAGGAGTATATCTTACATTACCTTCAGTTGCCATTTGAGAAACTCAAAAAATACATCAGGAACTTAATTGAGCCTCAGAATATTCCAGTGACACTTTTAACTAATTTCATTATATTAATGGGAAAAAAAAATGAAGCAAAAGAGTTAAGAGGAGAGTTAATTTTCTTTTTCAGATTTAAATGTCTCCCACCTAGCTCATTACTAATTTGGTATTGTGTTGGCATAAAGTCAGATAAAGGAGAATTAAAGTGCTAATTGCATACCTACAAGCCTGACACTTGTGCTGGCATCCCAGAGTTTTGCCTGGTGTCTTGTGAGAAGGCCATGTTTGAGAGTTGTCAAAGTAATGCAATGCAAAGTCCTTGCTATGACAGAGCAAAATTCCTACCTTCTTGTGCCAAGACCCAACAGGGAAATCCTGAGTCTGTGTAACTGATGATGTTACTGATAATCTAGAGCATCTTCTGTTGTTAAACTGTGGAAAAACTTAAAAAAAAAATGTGGTAATCATATCAAAGAGACTCCAGTTCAGCGTGTAGGATTTTGAAAATCTTTATTTTATTTTTTCCCCTGAAGAAATTATTAACAAAATATTGACATAAATAGTTTTCCTTATTGATCCTTACGGCTATGTTAGGCTAATATAAAGCTAACTTGCACTTGACAAAATCAAGAGTAATAATCCATACTGTTATACTAATATAAGGCCAGTTTGTGGAGCTAAATTCAGCCCCAGCTTCTACCTTTCTGGACCATCTTCACTCCCAGGCTCTTTTCCCAGGTAACTGAGCTGACTTCCACATTCTGAGGCTGGTCTCACACTGGTGATCTCAGGAATTGCTTTACATCAACTTTTGGAATGGTTTCAAAAGGAGAGAAGCTTTGTAGTGTCTTGTAGGCAATTAAGGGCCACAACTCCTCCTGGGTGTTGATGAGCACAATCTATCTGCTTGTACTTTCCCCCCAGAAATGTGTCTCTTGCACAGTCAATACCTCCCTCATCACTTTTTGAAGTGGAAAGTTGTGTAACTGCCCACCGTGGGGCTACGAGACTGTCTGGAAGAAAGGAACGATATATCACTTTACTTTTTAAAATGCAAAAGGCATTTCAGAAGGCAGTATAAAGTAACACTAAGCAAAAATTTAAGAGAGACAGATGGGTAACAGTGTCTCGGTAGTATGTGATCCTTGCAAGCCTTGGCTTTGTGTTTGCAGCACCCCGGCACAAACGTTACTTGGTGTAAAGGGAAGAGCCTGGATTTTTAAACTACACATTATACTTTCTGCAGAATTCGGGGCCTTCTGTGAAAGCCTCTTGTCAAAATATTAATGTAAGCCAGAGAGGATCACAGATAAAGGTGGAATGGCTGCAAGCATGGCTAATGTGTGCAGGTACTGCCAGCTACTCCAACTGCCGGCAAAGCCATTCCCTTCTGCGCTGAGCTCCTTGGAAAGGAGGAATGTGTAAACCACTAGACTTTAGCACATGGGGAAAAAAAATGTTGCTTTCTGGCACTACCTCAGAACCTATTCAGCATATGGCTGTCCTTTCAATGTGTAAACTAGTCAGGACAAATCTGGGGTGGTTTTTAAAATTTACTTTAAGTTTTCTAAATCTTATTCCATTTCAAATCCTCATTGAGAATCAGATGAAACTGCTAAAATTTTTAAATGCTTAAAGGACATTGGACTGCCATAGTGAAAACAGACAGAAAGCTGCTGGGCCCAGCATTGTATTTTCCTACCTAGAACGGGGGAAGATGGATGGTGTGAGGGAAGCTGATCCGTTACTCCAATCGAAGTGTGTCAGAGCCTGGAAGTTTGGGTGTAATTAGACCCCAGTAATTTCTAAATCTCCAAATGCAGATACTGCTGCATCAGCAGAATGGAGGCAAATCCAGCATCTCTGACAAGAAAGTACTTACCTCCTATTGATGCAAGCTCTGAGATGATGTTCATCTGTGACAGCCCCTGATGGCTCCAGTGTACTTTCATGTACTGAAATTTGGTGGGACTAGTTTCTGAGCTTTACTATGTCCTCCAAATCACTTGACTGGGATTTCCATTCTATTTAGAAATAATGGAAATGCATCACCTATAAAAATGAGCAGGACTTCAGCATCCTACAAACATGGCATTTCTCTATTTAATAATAATTAACTCATAAATAATTTACGCTCTCCTTTCTCTTACTATAAACTAGGTTTTATACCAAATAAAATAATCAGGAACTTCATACTGTTGCCCTTACATATATGTAGTCAGGTACCAGAGGGTGGAGATGACTTACCAACAAGGATCTTACATTATGAATTTGACCCACACATACAAATTCCTGCACTCATTAAGGGGTCCAATTTTGCTTGGACTTTACATACCTGAGGGATCTGTGTAGGTACAGATGTGTAGGAGGTGGCCAGGCTTGTATTTAGGAGGAGGGCAGTAATTCCAACAACAGCAGCTGTTACCACAGATGAGCTGGAGAAAAGCACTATCACACTTTATTTTAGTATGCTACAAAATTCATTGTTGAACTTTATTAGGTAATTTAATACCAAGCATACTTTAAAGTAACAAAAATTATTGTCGTTATTATTTTTTACAGAAAATCAGGTATTTCAACAGTTTTCTTTACAGTTTGTTGACTTAAAAAAAAATTACAATTGACAAGTTACAATAGTGGGATGGGAAAGTGGTAACATTTAAAAGGATAAAACATACTATTCTTACTGAATCAACATTTAATGATGTACATCTTGGTATGTCTCCCCTTCTGACTGTGTACAAATGGTACATATTCACTGAGCTGCCCTGACAGGATTGTGATGTATTGTGATGACACTTCTTTTGAAATGTTTGTGTGTATTTAAAAGGGCTTGTACATTACACCATCACCATGATGCAAAACAAAATCATATAATACAGAGAAACCCTGCTTCCGTGATTTCTGTCACAGCAAAAGTGCCATGACTGCAATAATGTGGGGTAGAGGTAAACTCAAGGAGCAAATGAAGATGGTGATACAATAGCACATCCAGATAGCAAACCCTTTCATAGGCTTTGAGATGTGAGTGTGACTGTGAGCTGACAAGAGCAGTGAATGAGGATGGGCTTCACTGAGACACAATTTAACAGGGACTCCTGAATGCACCCGGCTCTTAAGGATGTGCGTTTTCCAGCTGATAGTGGTTGGACTAATCATAGATTTAAAAACCTGTCTGAAGTGGGCCCTGAATGTGTTTATGCAGCCTCATGTGTAAACTACTTGATTTTTACCTTCCATTCCCTTTGGGTCAGTAGCAGGTACTGAAAATAGGTTTATGGTGGTTGACTGATTTGGGTGGGCTTTTTGACCAGCTCTAATGCTGGTCCTGTAGAATTCAGGAGAGTTTTCCACCAACAGATATAAGAGCAGTTTTGCATTAAAAAAAGTGGTGGGGTTTTCTTTTGTTTGCTTTGTTTGTCTGTTTGTTTTTAATGCTGCCCAGATTCACACAAATTTACTTGGCTGACATCCACATTCGGCATTCAGTTTTTAAGACAAGCAGCAGCACATTGGTGCCTTGGTAGTTAGACAGAAGAGTTATCTAATTCCCTATATTCGTTTATTGGAAGTTTGCTTAAAGATAACTTTTCATTCAAAAGTAAAATAAATTTTCTGAGATACATGCACTAAATTCCAGAATCATTTGTGTTGTGCAGCCAATAGTCAGAAAGCAGTTTTAACTCATAGTTACCTCATGTCTTCAGCATATTGCATTACTGGGGATCAACATTAGCAATTAACTATTATTTTAGCCATTTCCCCTGAAAGCCAAAGAATGAAGCAACAGGCTTAAAAAAACCTGAAGAAACTAGCATTGCAGTGTTCATTTTGGGCTGGATTCATCTGTGATACACAGGAGAGGGCAGAAGACATGCCCAGACCTGAGCCAGGATAGACATGTGCTTTGCTGGGAGGTGCTGGAGAGGAGCAGAGGAGAGGGGCTCCCTGCTTCCCTCTGTTGCTCTGTGCCTGGTGCTTGGCATTTTGCTATGAGATCTTTCTTCATACTCTGTGCCTACTCCTGTTTTACTTCTCAGTGGCTTCTGGAAATGAGAGTGTCCTTTGGGACCCGCTGAGCCCTGGGGAGGGAATCACCAGCCCCACCCACACCCTGGGCCTCCATCCTGTGCACCCATCCCTCACATGGCTATTTGCAATATTTATTTGCTTACTAGTCTCTTAATTTTTGCGTTGAGTTTAAACTCAGGGGTTTATTGATTTTAAACTTTAGGCCAGAAGGGCTCATTAGATCATCTGATCTGACTGGCGTTAGCACAGGTCAGAGAGCATCACTCAGCAGCTACGTGGCAGAACAAAGAGAAGAACAGAAATGCCCCTGGAGTGAACAGCTGTTTGTTACATTTAAGGGGTAAATTATTTTCTCCTATTAAAAAGGAAATCAAGGGCCTTTATTTTGTCACTTCAAATGCAAACAATTCTATGCATCTTGGGAAATTATAGTATTATGATATTCAGTCAGACATACCTTGTAGTATATATGCTTCATAGAACTAGAATATAGGTCAGAAACAATTTTTGAGTCTTAAGTTTGTTACAGACAGATTAATTGGAACACATACGCAGTAAAAATTGAGAAGCTTTACAGTTTTAGTCAACTTATTATACAGTGAAGTAAATGAAGTGCAGCAATGTAGCAGTAAAAGTTATGCTTTTTCCACTAGGTGATGGAAACATTCAGAGTCTATAAATGCTAATTAAAGAGAGATGTCCTATCAGCTTCTTGGCTACTGGGATAAGAATAGTCTGGAGTTAACTGCCTCTCTACTGTGAAAGGTTTTAAAGCTTTTTGCTTTCCGTCCGAATAAAAAAAATGACATTTACAAACCTCTTCAATGCATATATATTACATATGTTTATCTAGCAACAACTACACCCCTTTTAATTTATTCCCCAAATGTGACTTTTCATGCATGTCTTCTGGACGCTGTATTCAGCAACAGTTTCTAATGAGCTGGTGTGTAATCCATGATTGCATTTCTCTTCTGAAAATCACTTCCACGTCTGGCTGATCTATGTTTAGAAGGTGGTGCTTATCCATCAGGCATTTTTGCACTCGTCAGCGTTCTTCTCTGTCAGAGGCTTTCCCAAGCTCCTTCCCATTTTAATGTTGATGTACAAAAGCTGTTATTCGTTTTGTTTTGTGCTCATTCTAGTGAGGATTGGCTTAGTAGGACTGTGCAAAAGAGAGAGAAGAGAGAAGCTGGTTTACTGCCAGCAAACATAAAGATGTTCACACTGTGCTCTAGCTCAGAGCAAACCTCTGACCAATATTCTAATACACTTCATTATATGCATTTCCATTTATCATGAAAAGGGAAAAAATTAATCTGCAGATAGGATTTGTAATCTGAAATTCTTTAAAATCGTTTTTCACCAGCTAATCAACACAGGGAGTCAAAATAATGAGATTGTTTCATCTAAAGTCTGAGCGATAAGAAAACAAAGATACAGCGCATATGGGGCAAGAATGACATTTACTAGATGAATACCATGAATTGAGTTAAAATCCTGACATTTCTGCCCAGTATCAACAACTTCTTTCACTCCCCCTGAGGACAAAATCCACATTTGCAAACACGATAAAATAAAACCTTGTGTTAAATTTCAAATGAGGACAGAGGTGCAGAGGTGTTTTCAACCCACACTCTCCCTTAAAAATTAATTCTCACCCATCCATTTTCCATGTGCTGCAAACAGAGCTGCAGAGGGGGAGAGCAGACACTAGCTGTGGTGGCACCTGGAGCAGGGTGAGGAAGGCTCCCCCTCCTCACTGGAAGTGACTGTGCCAGGGGGGGCAGCGCATGGGAACAGGGCCTTACTGAGAAAGTCTATTTGCAAGTACTCGCGTACAAGCAAATGCCTTGGTACTCCAGCACTTGGCATTGAACAGAAGGGTCTTGCACCACATGAGCACTGCAAATTCACCATTAGCTAAACTGTCCCGGATCGTGAAGACCAAACCATGCAGTCATTTGGCAGGCAACCCCCCCACTGCCTCCTGTGAAAGGGTCACTGGTCGGGGGTCCTATGAGGCCACAGGTCATCGCAGTCCCGTTCCCCTTGTCGTAACACAGGGGCCTCTGCAGGAGGCTGTTTGAACGCAGAACTAGAGGGAAATCACTCTTTTTGTGAAAACAAAAGAGAAAGAATGAATTTCATCGTGAAATGACAGAATTTCAGAACTAGAAACTCTTAAAAATGTTACTGTAAGGGGACTGAAATTTTTAATTTCCCCCCCTCCCCCCCCCTGTGTTACATGGAGCAGCCACCTTCTCCCATTCCCACAAATTCCCCACACCCATTGATTCTCATGATCACCTTGGCCTGCAGCTAATTCACCCATAGACCCAGGGAGTGTGATGCCCTGGAACAGGATGCCCAGACCCGAGAGTTTGGGATGGTAGTACCACAAACCAGTGGGCTTGGTGGTGGCAAACCCTTTTGCTATGAACTCTGGATGCCTGCTTCCCCAGCAGCTTCCCAAAAATTTTTTCAAGCAAAGTTTGTTTGGGAGGAAAATTTCTGACTTGTTACAGCCCACATGTGTTCAGAATGTATCTATAGTCCAGATTTATTTTACAAAACACTTTTAATTGATGTTGCTGAGACTAGAAAGTAGTAAATAAATACAAAAGAAGCATAAGGTAAACTAAGGAGGGCCATGAAAAACGGAACAGTTTTGCTTGTGTCAAAAAACCAATATGAAATATAATGTGGTAAAAACATTTTTATGATACAAGTATGTAATGGGGATTGTAGTTTCCAATTGTAAAAGAGGAGTTGCCATTGATAGCTCCATGAGCTGCCTTTCACCCATGCAACAAAATTAAGGATAAAGAACTGATGAGAAATGGACATACTTGTTAAAATGAAAATTAATAAAAAGTGGTCTGAGTCCAGAATTTTGGTGTATTTTATTAATATGGTTAACAATGTAATTAATATGGTAATATAGGTAAGCAGCATTACTAAATAAAATAAAGGAATAAAAAAATTGTCTGAGCCTCCAATCTGTTTATTTGCTAGATGAGAAACGGGGGTTTGTGAGCCTCTTAAACAATCCATAGTTGGGTGATGAGCATATGCCCTCATACTCCTAGAAACAATCTAAACTTAATAGAACTGACTGAGCCATTTCTTTCAATTATTTTTAATCAGAATTTAATGTAGCTGTGTTATTCGAACCCCTAACATTGTTTACTGGATTTCCAGCAACACTCAGTGTTTCAGCTGTAACATACTAAGACCTTTATTAGTTCTTTTGGCAAATTTTGCACACAGGTGTTATACACATGGAAATGAAATTTAATAAATACCGGAGCTGCCTAGTTGACAAGGCAGAAATAAGTCATTCACATCCAACATCCCTCAGTCTGTTTTGTATCACATCATAGGCTTTTGACTCGTTGAAGTTTCGTAGATACTTACAACCTGTTTCTAATGCTGTTGCTTAGAAATCAGTTAATGAAAGCAGTCTTCATGAAAGCTGTATTACCCAAGCACCAGGTGCTCTGCTGTTAAATTCCCTATTTAAAGTCTTTAAAGGCTGCCTGTTAGGCTGACATCGCCACAGCACAGTTACTATTCATATTTGACCAATTCAATTAGGGCAGTCACTTCTGTTCACTGCAGAGCTGGGGTACAGTCAGCCTGGAGCATTTTAGTGTTTATGTATATTTTCAGAGAGAGGCCACTGACATTCCTTTGTGTTAAAGATGAATCACAGGGAAATTTCCAGGTTGCTCTCTGACAAGGTATAAAGGATGTACTGAATTTCAGATGGTCCCTCATGCTGTTATGGTAAAGTCAGTCAAATGAATAGTAAATATATAGAGAAAGGCAGACCTTCTAGGTCTGAGTATATGTCATCTCAGACAATCTTAACACTTTATAGCATTAATTGTCACCAGCCATATTTATATGATCTTCTTTGCCATGTATTTGACTGGCATCTAGAAAACAACACCTTTCCAAGTCTTAATCTTTTATTGCTGACTCCAAATATGGTCACATCAAAACTGGTACTGTTACAAAACCACATCAGCTGGCAGAAGCCCGTGGGTCAATGAAGCACGAGAGATTTCTTCCCAGCACCTCCGCAGTATTCCTCCAGCCTAAGAAGCGTCATCATCTCTACTGAATGCTGGCACTGTGGTTAGTGTATGGAAGGGGATGAAGGATGAAACATTGATGCTGAAGGTCTGCAATTGAAAATAGACATGCTGAGGCACCTTGGATAACACTTCTGCCTGGGCTGTAGGCCAAAAAAATTTGGGCAAGTTCAGTCTTAATGAGGTGCATGGTTTTCTCACTTTTCTGCTTATAGAATAACAGAATCGTTAAGGTTGGAAAAGACTTCTAAGATCATCGATTCCAACCCTTAACATTGTACTGCCATGTACATGCCAAAACATAACCCCAAGCACCACATGCCTTTTGAACACTTCCAGGGGTGGTGAATCCAAGACTTCCCTGGGCAGCATGTTCCAACCCTTTTGGTGAAGAAATATTTCCCAATATACAATCTAAACCTCCCCTGATACAACTTGAAGCCATTTCATCTCATCCTCTCACTTGTTATTTGGGAGAAGAGACCAACCCTCACCTGGCTACAACCTCCTTTCAGGTAGTTGCAGAGAGCAGTAAGGTCCCCTCTGAGCCCCCTTTTCTCCAACCTAAACAACCCCAGCTCCCTCAGCTGCTCCTCACAGGACTTGTACTCCAGACCCTTCACCAACTTTGTTGCCCTTCTTCAGACACACTGACCTGACTCAGCTCCTCACAGCCACATGTAGATGTGTTGTTGTTGTTGTTGATGATGTTTTTGTTTGGTGCAATGCTAAGTGTATTAAAGCTCCACTTGTATCCACTGCACTCCAAAATTCAAAGACCTACATGCATTCAGGGCCTGGACAATATCCAGATGTGTTGTTAAAAGGCACAAAAGGCAGATAGATGCCCAGCTGCAGAGGGCAGCCAATGTCCCCTCATCTCTTATTTCCTTGAAGATATTCTCTTTAAAACACATAACAAATCCTATTTGAGTGGCCTGAGAGAATGATTTTTTTTCTGTGGGATGAGAGAGGAATGATGTGTATTTCCATTTGCCTGCCTGCTGTGGGTGCCTTTGCCCTGAAGAACTGAGCATCCTTTGCCCTGGCCTCATGGGGGATTGCTTATGTGTCACCCAGAGAGTGACTCTGGGGCAAATCTGTCTCTCAGTGAACAGGCAGGCACCAACTCAGGCCCTCTCCAGACTCTTAAGAGTCCTGGTGATCCAAGCTGGAACTCTAACATGTTTTAGAGAAGCTGTCCACAGCTCATCCTGGAAATAGCTGTGTGGCCAGGAGGTGAATGAATTGTGCTCTCTGCTGCCTCCCCTGCATCGCAGTTGAGCCACAGGAAAGAGTATGGAAATGGCTACCCTACAGAAATGGAAAGAAGAATGGACAGAAATCCCCCAGCTGTTTTGCTAGCAGTCCCCTTTCAGTGTTTCACTGTTCAGCAGCTTCTCAACAAAATGTGATAAATGACCTGTCCACACCAGAGCTGCCCAAGCACGTTTCCTCCTCCTCCCGCCAAACTCGATCTGGCAACTGCCTGCTCTGCTGTCACTCACAGCTGCTGAAGGCTACCTGAGAGGGCAGGGGTTAAAGAGAATACAGAGTAAACCTTGAGGAGTTACTAAAACTTTCACAAAATTTTGGGATTGAAATTGTGTGATATCTTTGTCCATATGGCATTAGAGGAGAAGCTCATCTGAGCAGAAGGGTGTCTGAGCTCAATCTTCTACTGCAGCACTTCCTTGCAATAAAATAGGATTGAATCACATAAAAAATGACAAGGTTTTTACCAATTCAGTTTGCAAGCTGTGTGAAACCAGAGCTGGGGGCAACACTTATTCAATCTGCTGGGTGGTATTTTGTGCACCCTGTTAATGGCAGCAGCTGAACTCCTGGGCATGGGCTGTAGGAAGTGTTTCTAGGACTGTAGGAAACCATTTAAGGAGCATTCAAGAATTTTCTAAACGTCTGGCCCAGACAGGCATCATCAATTAAAGTTTTGCCATCAGAAGGCTCAGTTCATGACTGCACAAGGACATTTCTAGCATCTGAGAGGATGATGTGGCAGTGTTCTCCCCTTCTCCACTTGAGCCATAACCACCAGTGGGGC